GCACCTCAAAACGGAGTCGTACCATGCCGGTCATCAACCGGATTTCAGAGAGATCTCCCACTGGACCTTGATGCCCAAGATACGAACGTGGCTGGAGACTGCCCTATATGCAAAGGGTATACACCGTCTAATTCTTCCGACTGACAGACTTGTTTGTCCCCCATCCTATCTTCACAGATCGTGGTTGGGCCTGCTTACAAGCAGCCTCTCCGAGGTCTCGAAACGCACTATGAGTAATTAACTGGCTAATAAAAGTAATTAAGGGTTATTGTTGACGTACAATGAGTTCGGTTTAGAAACTTTGAATACTTGAAGTTCCAGGGTGCTAGGATCAACGTCTGGAAATTCTTTGCAATGAACATCAAGGACGAGAAATAGGCTGGAAGGGGAACGTTCATCAAAGACAAAGTGTACGAAGAGATCATTCAAAGACGTGAGTTCTTCATAAGATCCGAGATCTTGCGAATCGAAAAAGTCTTTCATCACAGCTTGATCGTCTGTGACATACTGCTCACGACACCTAAGAACGACGCGTTTCGGCTGAGGCATCTCAGCTAAAGGTATTCGCAGCAGAAAGTCAATCAGAATTGAGAGAGACGAGAGGAGCAGGAGGAAAGGAATCCAATGCAAAACAATGTTGGTTGATGGTTGACGCGCCCTTGATCCAACCCAGCGGTTAACTTGGCCGACATCGGCAAAATGCCGATTTGGACTGCGGCCAATCCACCCTTCCACGAACGTGCTCTGGTCCTTGCAGCTGCGAACATATAACTTATTTCATTTCTCTGCGCAATTGATCGCTTCCATTTGTTGAGCATCTTCCTCGCAGGAAATGGACCTCTCTTTATTGTTCGTCCGAGAAACTCGTCTTTGGTCACTGTACCACAGTCCAGCAGCAGGCCACCCCGTGCCGGAGAGGGGTGCGCAAATCAAGACCAGCGCGATCAAGGGACAAGCCACAGTCTGCCAAATTTAGAAGTTGGAGGTTGGTACGCAATGTATTCTTACCAGCCTATAATTGGGTGAATACTGCGGGGTCTGCTTACAGTTGACAGGGTCCATCATTCCCTGATTGGGAAGTACCAATCGACGTGGCGTTGTTGCATGAATCGATCTGCTCCAGTCCTTGCAACGCAATATGTAGCTTTTCAGCCTGATCAGGTGGTTTTGAGATTGATAGTTTATCGTATAGCCTCATCAGATTTGATGGAATTTTGATGTCGCGTTGATGATGAATATACGTAGTATCTGCGCTGTAGAGATGCTGCCTGTAACATACGCGTGGCAACGACGACACTAGGGTAATTTTTGTGTCCATATATATGCAGGGTAACCAGGGTAGTCAAAGTTCACGTTATAAGCAAAAAAGACATGAATAATGAGTGGAATGAAGTTCTTTTAATGATTCTACAACAAGTACCGGGGTGTATGGCTCGTTGCACCAGGTGGCTCGTTGCACGTGGACAGACATTACTTCGCCTTCCTTTTCGCACACCATGTTTATAGCCGGCCCGAACTCCAAGTCCCGTCTTTCGTCATCTCTTTTTCTAGCCACAACGCCAGTGTGTTTTGGCTACTCCGCGCCGCAGCCGCTCCGTTCCAGAAATCGATATCCTCAAGTTCGCCAACACCAAGCACCCTATATGCCGTCGTGGTGTAGTTTCCAATGTCGGCCAGCACAATCCCAAGGTTCTGACTCTCTCAATTGGCAGCGAATCTTGCACTTGGGCATGGGACGGCGAAGAATGTTGCTGGATTGGGGCTAACTGGCAATGAATCATGCGCGGCCTCAATGTGTGTCGACTTTCTCATACTTTTCGCGCTTCCTGCTGCATCCTGTGAAGAGCTCAAGCTGTTGATGGCGATAAACCCACGAGCACTAGTCTCATTCGCGGTTACTGTGTTTGCGTCGTACGATGCTATAAGGTTACTCTCCTGTTTGTCGCTGGTCTTGGCCTCGGAAGTAGCTTGCGTTTGCTGCTTCACCAGTTCTTCTACCTCTTCTTCAAGTCATAATTTGCGTGGTCTGCCTCTAGCATCCCTTAGCTTGTCCACAGCCGCTTTACCGGCTTCAGGGCGAGTCTTTCTACCTCTCCGTCGAGTTGGCTTGGTCACACCTTGCGTCCCACAGCCCTGCTTGGCTTTCTTCGCAGCGTTTGGAGCCTTTCGGCCGGCTACGCGTTTCCCTTCGACTCTTGCCTCAGCCATGGTGATCGTAGCAGGCACGAAGGCAAGGGCTCAACTCAAGATGGCGGCGTTGGAAGATAGGATTTGGTCGCTTGTCCAAGTATTTGGAGGACTCATAAAACGGCGTTTTTTGTGCTGACAACACAGAAAGCGTTAGCACATGGTAGCAGCAAAAGTTAGATGCGAAGGTGTATAAATATTGTCGTAGGCGGCGGAGTACTGACGACGAGAGGCCGAGATAACGGAGTTGAGATGGCATTGAAAGTGGCTGAACATGTTTTGATAGATGAGCATAACTCCTCCCCGCAGCCTTCTGCTAAGATCTGAAGCGTGCTTGATAGCACACGATCAACCAATGGATCGTGACACGTCAGCAAATAATGAGTAACAATGATTGAACACTACTCATTGATGTGTGAGGTGGCTGACAGAGCCACTCGGCTCAACAGGAAGCGGTTTGACGCATGAACTCACACTCCGGAATCTCCATCACCGCCTACAGTCGCTGCGTAATGTGGAGGCTTATCGGTCGGCTGTTGAGCTACCGTACTGTCAGTACTCATTCAACCAGGGGGTTGTGACATAAAAAGACAGCTTACCAACCGCTAAATGCACCTAACAATTCTATGTCCCTTCCATGAACCAGCCGATCACTGACGCAGTTTCCGCATTTCGAATGCCTACAGAATCATCCTCGCCGCGAAGAAGCATCCGAGAAGGAGAGGTTCGTACTCTCAGCCAGTGTTGTACTATCCGCCACCGCTGACATGTGTAAGCTTGAGCCACATACTGCGCACCATAACGCCGCGATCGACATTGAGGGCGCTGAGAGTTTGATGTCCCTTCACCAGCAACAGCAGGCCACAACACATGTTGATGAAGTTGAAGAGGATTGGGAGAGCGTAAAAACTCAAAGATCTCGCAACCGAGGTAAACGTAAGGTTTAATCATTATCGAGTTTGCTAATTCCCAGTAAAGATAAAAAGAGGAAACGGATTGATAACCACGGGAGAGAAGCTGAACAGACTTTGTCGAAGCTAGAACGAGAAGAGGTACATGTTGAAGGAGTAATTCGCCGAAGCATGCAAAAGGCATCCCTCATGCTGAGCGAGGATATTAACTACCTCGCTGTAGTCGACATCAACAGCTATATGAACACATTATCTAGACTTTTCAGAGCACTTGAAGCTCTGCAGAGCACGGACTGAATTGAGTTGGTTGAATAGCAATATATACGTAGTGTTACAAAACAGTTTTCAATACGCATTATTCGTTTGCAGCAAGCCGTTTCCTGGGACACTTCGAACCGCCTCGGCCGGTGAAGGACGTATTGGGGGTGGTGTCATATGCGCCTTCATTACTTTGCTGACTGAACTCTTGTGATTGAGAATCGGGCTGACTCGATCCTGAGAGATGGTGGAGCTCGAGATCTTGTGAAAGCCCGAAGCTCTGGGAAAGTTGTGGAACGCTGAAATCCAGATCTGCCGGGATTTGATCTATGGCCGAACATAGCCGTTTGAAACGATTCGGCATCCATATATCATAGACGTTCTTGGTGAACTTGTATGCCGTCCATTTCTCCTTACCATCTAGAGCTGTAAAGCTGAACTCATGGATTGGATGGCGGTAGTACTTGGTGTCCTTCCCATCAATGACTGCGTAGTGTCCATATATTCTCACCGACCTGTGATTATGCGAAATTGAGAAGGCGAGAATCTCCCGATGAAGCTCCATCTCACGACCAACAAGTCTAAAGAGCTCGACGGTGGCTCTCACCGCAAGAGTCATGCTATGGGCATTCTGTCGATCCGCGATATCTAGCGATGCAGCACCGCACTTCACCTCACAAGTAAGAAACGGAAAGTACATGTAGTACGTAGCCATGAAGTACGACTGATCACCAGCGATGAAGTCGCCAATGAATGGGGCGAGCTTGTCGAGCTGCTCTTGGGTGAATGCCTCTCGCTTGAATCCTACGGAGTAGTCGGGCTGTGGACGCGTGCCTGTTAAGGGAAAAGAGTTGCTCCAGCCTTCGTTGGTGCTCTCGATCAAGATCTTGAGATGTCCAGCGCCATATGCAGTTAGAGTCTCGGCTGATGGCACGATCAGAAGGGAGATATCCCGGATAACCCTGGTTTCATTCCTGTCCTGGATGTTTTGGCATGTTTGTTTGAACAGATCATCGCGGAATAGCGATTCACTGGGAGTAAGCTGTTTCCAGTACCATTTCCCTTCGTGCCCAAATGATATGAGCACGCCTTTGTCACCTTCAGGATACACAGCTTTCATATTCTGGACTGAGGTTAGATAGGATGCTAAAGTGCTTCGAGGAATAGACAAACTTGATAATCTCGAATAACATCGAGAGCCAAGTGACTTCCATCTACAAGTTGAGTTGTGTTTGTCGCTTTGTGAGGGTTTGGTATAGAGAATCCTTGTCATCCATATCTATGAGGCGAGAAAAGTATTGCTCGATAAAGATGTGTGAAAGGGCCCAGAGACTTGAGTTCTTAACAAGAATGACCCTAAAGAATCATCACAAACGTGCAGCCTAAGTGCTCTTATAACCTCCGGAGGAGCGCCCAGGGTCCGTATTCACTTTTATGCAATTGCAAGTTACATGTTACGTGTGATTTTTCTGCACAATGTTTCAGCTCGTCGCGCAGACGACGTACTGATGAGATGGTACGCTTGAGCAAGTACTAATGCGTTGTTCATTCGGGGTTCCGTTCACTAAACTATTATGTACGACAATGGGTTGTGATCGATGAACGTGCTGTCAAGGCGCACCGCGACATTGCCGTCCATGCATGTCGAAAGCCAGCCGGCCAGGATTCAATTGCTGTCAAGACGCGGAATGCGCACAAGGCTGTTTGACATTGCGGAGTCGTACGTGTTGCCGTTCATTTCCTTCCACAAAAAGATATTGAATGTATTTTCTGCTAAGTGACAGCGCTGTAGTCTAGTCTAGTTGAGCCATATCCGCATTTCGTACTCCTCTCCTCCAATATCCCCCTTATATGAGCCCATATGATCTCCAGAGCAGTCTCCGTATTTTCTTCAGTCAGCGCCGAATGCGAATTGGCTCTCCTTCCTGAGGACAGTCTTCAATATCTGTCACATCGTCGTCGTCTCGATACTCTCGAATAGGACCTGTTACGACCTTAGTCTCTGTACGGCTTTCTAATGCCATGATAAAAAACACAACGTACTGTTGGTTTTGTCGATAGCCATTTTAGGGACGTGGGACTTTTGGATTTCTTGGAGCGTAAATTGCCTTGTAGGTGCACGAGTAGGAGGGCAAGTTGCGTAGGCAGCCAGGTATTTATGGTCATTTCAATTTAGGTACAGAATTCTGAAGTTGCATATTGTATTGGGAAAAAAAAATACCGCCATGGATAGACCGCCGGAATATGTACGCGCCTGCAATTCTCAACGGAATTGGACTTGCATACAAGGATGCAAGAGATCTTCAGCCTTGCCAAGGAGGCACATTCGACGGTCGTGCATGAATTATTGGTACTTGTGAATCGGATCTTTTGGGCGCAGAACAGGAAATGCACGCATTGAATCGTCTATACATATTGCAATTCCTTGGAAACACAACTCAGATGGCTGCAAGAGAAGGTAAATTGCTCGCCCCGGCATGTCTAATTCTAATCATCCCTGTGCCGCCTGCAGCGGTAGTCCTGAGAACATATTTGGTTCCACAACGCATCCTCCCTAGAGTCACGGTGGCATCGACCTCGCTGGGCAGTAAAGCATTAAAGGTCAGCTAGCCGGCCTTTAGAAGGACTCTCGTGTCTGGATGTGGGCCCTTTAGCTGTAGACATATCCCTACAGTCGCCTGAAGTCGTAATCAGTTGTTATAGATAGATTTCTGAAGTTAAAAGAGATTATACCGCATTTCTCATCCAGTCGATATTCGCTGCGACTGTTAACCGAAAGCCTTCACGTGGACCTATGGAGCAACTCACATCGCAGTGACATTTGCGGGACAACGTTTGTGCGTCTCTTGATATCTAGTACACCATGCCTTTACTGTATATCGCAGATGACCACAGGCGTACTCGACTTGTGTGTAGTCGCACATTTTGATGGCTACTGGGTTTGAATTTGAGGTGCCGTGCAACGGTTCATATTTGGAGAAGATAGTAGCAGCCCACGCTTAAGTCATCTTAGGGAACATAATCAAACTACCGTCATCAACTGCTTCAATTGATTGGAAGAAGCATAGCGTGAACATCGAATGCTGACCACATCCTACAGCAGCATGGTGCATGATTCGGTGGGCCATTGACGCCACTCTTCAGGAATCTGAGGGGCAGCTTGCGCTCTCCAAGGCCACAGAACGCTTAGATGAGAGGGAATCATTCAGCTTCGCTTAGATCATGGCTTCCCGTGCCAGAAGTGAAGTAAAAATGCACGGCATTACAGGCATATTATGATTAAAACACCAATGAAATGAAACGTTTGAGTGATGGCACTTGCATTTCTAGAGTACGGGACTTGCAGCTGGACTGTATCGTTATTTACTCAAACACCATCAATCCCTCGTAGTGCATCCTACAATCTAGCCAGGTCTATCACCTGTAAACGCCGAAGCTTTTGCAATGCAACTCCAACATTAAGGCAACCATGGAGCATTGATCGACAGTCGCGATCCCAATGGCCGGATTTTGACCAAACCATCAATGTAGTATTGTTGTCTGTCCATCTGTACTTCCATTTTTTAAGACTCCCTTCATCCTACTTGACTATCAGCGCAATCTTGTTATCGAAGTGTATTATGTACATTATAAAGTTGTTGCATGAATCTGTAAGCCTGGCACGGCGATACCACTTGTGTCCATCCTCCCAAATCAATGCATACAGGGACTAGCATCGGCGACGGTGGCGGGGGCGGTGGAGGTTCACCGGTGAGGTGTTCGGAAAACGGAAAAGATGCATCATTCATGATCGGATGCTGTTAGATTTGTCGCTCATAGAAACAAGGCAACTGATGCGCACCTATATATGCGCTGCGTGCAGGGAGAAACGGCTGTGCGTTCACATCCGCTTTCCAATTCAGACGTACGCGATGAAAGTATAGCCCACATCATTCGCTACAACGCAGCCACCCACACCACTAGTGATTCCTGCAGAGCGGTAGGCGCAAACTGAGATTAATGCGTAGGGGCACGGTGTGTGTTTGGAAGACGTCCAACCCAGCACAGCGGAACTCGCGCAACCCGCCGAGCCCGGAATTCTGTGCTGCGCACCAGACTTGTCAATTCGCGCTCTCGTCCCAACTCCTGAACTTCTGCAGCCTGCCAATCCTGTCGCCTGGCGCTACTGCCAACTACAAACGTTCACATTACCTTTTTGGGGAGCAAGAATAGAGAGTTGCATAGCTGATGACGACTCATCTGCACGAGGATTTGATTGAGTTTCTCTACTCGCTGGACCGTCGCCTCAAAGCTTCATTATGTGCGCATTGTTGTTCGCGACATTTACGCGCAGCAGCGGGATACCACAATGTCACTCCACGTTGGATCTAGCATTTGATGTGCGAAAGCTTATCAGAATAGGTTGATTCAGACTATACCGAACCAAGTCGTGCGAGGGCAAAGACCTTACTGCCCTCTGTCGCTCGTTTACCAGGACGTTATCTGGATCGGGCAACCATAATGGAGGCAGTACAGCTTGTATTTCTGATCCTATATGTATGTAGTGCGTACTAATGACTTTGCCGCGAGTCACACATGATTGGAGCTATATATAGCTCTATTGCCCAGCCGAATTGCTCTCTTGGACCTCGGATCGTTTATTGCCGTTTTGAGTACTGGATGAGGATGAAGCGTCGAGTGCCGTAAGGCCAGGTGCTTTGGCTAATTCGTCCCCAGTCATACGGGACTCCCTTTTCAGAGAAGGGATAACAGTAGCTGACGACTGTGGAGGAGTAGAAAGAGGGATGGGAATTGTGGAAATGGACTGCGGCTTCTGGAGATCGGCCATGTTGATACAAGATGTGCCACTATTTCGTAGCGCCGGAGAAAGGAACAGAGGTTGAGATTGATGTTGTGCAGTGTAGAATACATCTGGCGGCATGTAACACTTCAGGAGAGTATAACGCAGGCCTTTTATTCAAATTCTGACGATACGCCTTAAAGGCATGATGTGCTCTGTGCTTTGGGCGTGTTGATGTCTACTTTCGAATCGGCATATACTGGCGGATATCGTGCGGTCAATTGGCTGAAATTGGCGTTCGCAGAAACATATCTCCATGAACTACAAGTGTCGGAACGCGTGTTCCAATTGGATTACGCAAGGACCAATTGCCTGGGAGCCACGCTGCAACGACCCACCCACCCAAGCGCTGATTGAACATCGATCCGGCAGAACGGAACATGCGCAGCTCGCCAAGCCCATTGCTGTGCGCAGCGCGCATAAATAATGATCTCGCGCTCCCTAATATCTTCCTTGATCTACGCCGCTCACCGATAACCTTGACGCGCGCTGCCCTGCAACAACCTCTGCTCGCGGCTGCCCATCATAGTCAAAACTCGCGCAACGGATTCAAGCCCCAATGGATATCAATATCCGAGAGCTCAAGTCTTTGGAGGTGGACGAGAAGATTCCGGAGTCTGCAGACCAATACTATCCCACTTTTCTCCGAATATCTGATGTTAGCAGAGTCGCTGAAGGACTCACGAATTCAAACTACCGAACAGATGTTATCAAGCAGCTAACGACAGTAGCTGCCAGACTCCCAATCATCTGGGCGATCAGGGACACAGAGGCCAGATTGCGCGAGCTAGGAACTGCAAAACGCTTTTCAGATCGTACATGCAACCGGTTGAAGGACTTCGCCGACTATACTTACCAGACCAAAAATCGCCAGAAAGACAAGGATTACATCGAGAAACAGAAGCTCTTACGAACAGTGGATTGGAAAGTATTCAGGTTCCATTGTATAGCCTTTCCAATAGAGAAAACCAGGAATATGAATCTCAATCGCCTGCGGCAAGTCCTTGAACTGGAGAAATCTCGCATAGAATCTTATGGGTGGGAGCGTTACTTAAATCGCATAGAGTTCAACAATGCCCTCGCCGTACACGCCTCAGAAGCCCGCTACGGGCCACGGGGTCTCTATGACCAAAGCTACGAGGCTTTCAAGGCCGGTACGTTGTCCACGAGACTCAACTATGTGCGCTGACACTGAAGAAGCACAGCCAGCGGCGCCCATAGAACACATTCCGAAAGACCACCAAGATGAAATCCCCCCAGTAGCTGTTGCTGATTATCAAGGTATGTATTCTCTCTCATCCGAAGTTTTACTAAGCACTCACTAGGCCCACCTATACGCGAACTACATGGACAAGTGTATCAGCTCAGTGCAGCGGACCTTAGAGATACCGTCTATTCCTATAAAGGTGCTGGCAAACCTATCATCATGACCGTCCCAGTCTCAATCACACACCCGCCCTTTATACTTTTCACTACCACAAATACGATGACTATGAAATTCATGCAACGCCCAATACCGCAGAACGATCAAATGAGTCGCCTGATAAGGTCTGTGGTAACATCTTGGTCGTACCAGCCGCTAGCTGGTGAATGTTGGGTGTGTTCACCGCAAGGTTGCTGGGTGCATCTTTTCACTTTAGGGCGGCTTCGATTGTGCTCGGATCACGAAGCATGCCAAATGTGCCAGCCGTGCTGGATATCTAGGGGAGGAATTGTCAACAGATAGCTCTTATACGTAACAAATATAGTATCATATTAACAACCTTAGTTCTGTAAAGTGCGCAATAGCTGTGAAATTCGTTCTCAGTATGATTATGGACAAGGTGTCGCTAAAATAAACGCCATCTCCATTTCTCCCATGCAAAGGTATTTCCAGCTATGATGCCATGGCATAATCACGACTTTCGTGTTGTCCGTATCAACGCCTCCAGCGCCTCCAAGCCATTTCTTTGTGTTATACACCCTACAGGACCCTCGTTTCCGAACGTCCACTACAATGGCAACTGTGTTGTCCGGTGCAGGTACTGGGTTTCGGCTTGATTTCATGGTCTTGAAGGGAGTCACCTCGTGTATGGTCTGTTTTATCTGCAACATGTCAGTGAGTGATCTTCAGAAATTACTATAGACTGGGAAGACCTTTCTCACGCCCTCCTCTCCTTCTTCGACCTTTACCTTCTCCAAGGCATTGTCAAGGTATGTTGTGAGCACGTCCTTCCCTTCATCAACCTTTATCTTTTGCAATACGTCTTCCGTGACGTTCATATGCGAATAAAGGGGTATCGCGATGACGTCTTCAAAAGTCGATGAAAGGTTTGGGCATGGTCGACGCGACAAGTTCTGGAGGAGAGAGGATCGAAAAATGCGTATCACGGAGTGAGTAGGTGGGGCACTTAGCTGCTGCCTTTTGTGAGTTGTCCTGGCAAGGGTTGGTTTAGTGGACCATGACTCAATGTCACGAGGTCAATCACCCTGCAATAAGTCTGTTGGAGCGCGCCCAGAACTGAACTCCATCGCCCCTCTATTGCAACACTTTTGATCGCTATGGGTACAATCATCTCAGAGCCTATGGTCAGATGTACTGAGGGAGAGAATTGTATTCTTGAACCATGCGGCGAGCAGTGCGATGTCTGGAAGAAGTATCACCGTATGTTATCCGCCATAAAGTGAAGGACCACGTACTAAGATTATCATAGCGAAAACGGCGCCACCACCTTGAAGCACTCTAGATTTTGAGTAGTAAGCTCTATCCTCTCAATCTAGTTCATGTTTGACCTCTGAGCATTTACAGCTCTAACGAATCTTATCACCTGTTCTCTGCGCTTTGTTCTCAATCCCATCTCTTCGCAAAATTGACCATACTATGCGCGGGACGGCATTACATGCACGAGAACCAAACGCAGTGCTCTTCCACTCTGTACTGCCATAAAATCGCGATGGCTTTAGTACGAGCTCGTCCACGTGATCATCCCCATGCTGAAGCACATGGTAGGGAAGAACCGGAATCCAGAGCGGGTGGCCACGGCCTTGAAAGAGGCGCGGGCAAAATCTCACGACTTTACCTGACAACTTCCCAGATATCCGCTGAACACCTCATTATTCTAGCCATTCGACGTGGACGCTGATGCTGCTGCGTCTTGCGAAGTCTTACATTTCCGGACCTCAACAGGGATGTCCAGGAATTTGCCAAGGACTGGAACATGGTTTCTTTTCATATTATTTTGTTCTGGAACTCAATGAAGTGTCGATGAGAAGTACATGCAGTTGGGGTCGTTTGAGATGGCATCTAGCATAGCCTAGTGTGGTCACGCAAATTAAGATCGGTTACTCATTGTATCAACCAAACAGTTTCTGTTCAGCTCTATTTTAACCAGCTCTTTGATTGCCTCGATACTCATCTAGTGTTGCTTGTCTATCTTACTCATAAGGTTGACATTGAATATGGATTTGTATTCACATCACCACTCTACTGCTGCGCATTTTCCCAGACTTCTTTCGTCTTGGCTGACGGGTGACCACCACGCAGGTGCTAGTGTTAAAGTCGAGCTTCTAACACTCCCAGTAGCAAGATAGCAGCGACCAGGGCATCTGAAAGAGGTTACAAACCACCACAAAGGCGCCGAAAATGACATATCGGATAAGGGGACTAGATGAATCGGAGAAAATCCATCGAACAAACACCAAATTGTATCCTATTCATCGCCATCCTTACCTCATCTTCGTCACTCTCTAAATCGGTTTGTGCCGTGGCCAAACTAGTGGATGAATCCGTCTCGACGATGTGAGTTGCTTGATATATACCGATCGGTTTCCCTTCGGTTCCTTGAAGAATTCTAATGGGGGTTAGATACTATGATATGAATATACTTCGAAGTATCTCCAAACTCGTCGACTCCGTACCCAAGGCGCTTGGTGGTCCGCGAGTTGCGCAGCCCCACGTCCTCTTTTCCGTCCAAACGGCCAATAGCGTGAATTACGAACTAGATCCTGCGCATTTCAATGAGAATATAGATGCAAGCATTAATAACTGGCTCACCATCAGCATCCACTCCCGATACTCCAAAATGGCAGTAATGGTAACGGCAGCAATGGTAATGTCACCAATGGTAATGGCGCGAATGAAAACGGCGCCAATGAAAACAATTCTGAGGTGCCGCAAAGTGCTAGAAAAATTCTCAAACGCAGCTAATGAAAAGTTTCGCTCGCCCTGAGCAGCAGAACATGCAGTGAAGTGGGCAAGTTGGCGAGGAGAGGATGGTGGTGTGGTTTGTAGCCGAGCTGAGTGAAGCATATCCTAAGTGATAGCCTTCTCGAGACCAGTGGTACTTGGACTTCGCAGGCATGTCAAGATAATAGAAATCCTATCATTCCTATTGTTCATAGTGTGATCCAATCTATAGGTGTACTTGAAGCTAAGGGACTCTTTATTAATTAACCTCTTCTGCCCATATACTTGCAATACCGTGCTGCTACCTTAGAACGTTTCTGTTGGTGGTTGGAGTGAGTTGACAACAGGTCAACTTTGCGTGGGCCTCCGCGGGGAGGGTCCCCTTGGCTCTGGTGACCGAAAAACGGCATATATGTGGCAGATCTTTCAACTTTCAACATCGCCTCCCATAACCCCCATCTATACTTCTTCGGACCATTTGATCATCGTTATTAGGCAATTCCTTAGTTATCTCTTTCCTAGTTGTTTCGACTTCATCCATAGACCGACAATTTAAAATTGCCTTCCGTTTTGAGACCTGAAAATACTGAAGCGAAGAGATTTCGTAAGCTAAGTGGGGCGAAAATTTTGCAAGCTAAGTTAACTTTATGATTTAAGTTGCCGTCGGGTCTTTCAACAACTCGAAGTTCTCAAAACAGAAGATAGTGAGCCAGATATGCTTCTAGCAAAGGAGATCATGTTATAGTTTGGGTGTAATTGTGGGCAGTTTCTTGCCTGTCTTTTCTACAGCCGTTTCGAGTTCATGATCTAATCCCCCTTAAACCAAGAACCCTGAAGCATCAATTTTAATATAATTTGCATAAGCTTGCCTACTTTGAGTACGTCATCCTGAGTCAAGTCGTGGTTTCTGCCTTCGTCAAAGTAAATTGCCTCCAGCCACTCTGGGAGCGTATAACCTGACTTCTCCCCTGGTGAAGCGCTATCCATGGCGCGCCATATTTGTTACCACCACTCCGGCAGTTTATCATTGGCAATTTTCAGCATTTGGCGTACAAGAATCGTGGGTGTTATCATGAAGCTGTCAAACGGTGGTTGACCGACTATGAGCTCAAAAAGCTAGCGAAAATTGTGAGCTTTTCTTCAAGTTTGCGCCTGATGTAGTCTTCATCTCCCTCAATATGTTTCTTTCAAGATCTGAACTCACCATACAACCCATACTCCATAGGTCCACGCGATAATCGAACTTCTCTCTAAATATGATCTTAGGTGCTTGGACAGGACGCGATGTATGAAGCTTGTCAGGAAGTCATTTTTGAAAAAAGATTCGCCAAAGTCAACTATTTTAATCGGACAGGAAAGAACTGAGAGATCTGTTGGATACGAAGCGGGTCTGGCAAGATATTTAGGTATTCCGGGTTCTAGTGGCTTTCCGTCTTTTCTTCTGATTAATCCGGTCTCCGGGTTTCCGAGCTTCTGGAAAAACTTATCTTCAACTAGGGAATGTAAAGAAAGAATAGTGAAAGCTAAGTTGCGAGTATGCAGATCTAACATACATAAGTCAGCTAAAAATTTTGTGGATTGTTAGCTCACCTCCATGTCCGATCTTATGCTGATGCAAATAGTCCAGGCTGAGAAGAGCATGTGTCGCGATGATTTTTGCAAGTTTTCCAGGAAATCTCTTGCCGCGGAAGCGCGCATCCAGTAGATCAGGGAAGCTTGGCCTTAAAAACTTAAGTATAATGCAGCTGTGAGTACCATTCAGACTATTAAGATTAAAGTGGTTCAACATTTGCATTAGATGTTGACACTCAGGGTGCTTAGAGCGAATGTTTGATATAGCGCGTAAGACTTTGAATTCGCGGTTGCCCTCTCTGTGTTCCGGCAAAAGTGAATGTAATCACAGAGTCAGAAGACAGATAGGAATCCTGGAAACCTCAAGTCAAATAGCATGAGGAAGTTGCGAGTGAGAAATGCCTTTGATTGAGAGACCTTACTGTTTAGGAGCCTGTACCGTGGATACTTAAGCATTTCCTCTAGGATTCCACCCTCTCTCTCTCTTCTCACTACAACACACACACACTCACACTCACACACACACACACA